CTTTTAAGCCGACCACCATCACAAGCTCATCAGATGTGGCTGAGTCCTTGGCCTCGAGTTTGAGAACGATGTGCATCATCACGGCGTCGTCCTTGTAGGCGTCCACCATAGACCAAGTCAGATCGCCGGAAAGCCCTAATTAGCACACTTAGAAAATCTGCCTGTCGTGAGAGAGCAGCCGCATCCTTGTTGTATTCCCCCTTCAGATATTGAAGGTCGAAGTCATATTGATCAATAACTTCGATCCATCTCTTGAGTGCATCGGACAGGATCGACTGTGTTTTGATCCATTTAAGGGTCCGATGGTCAGATCTCACAATGAAGAATCTACCCAACAGGTAATGCCGCCAATCGGTCAAAGCCTTATAAAGGGCATAAAGATCGCGCTCATATGTGGATTTTGCTAACTTTTGAAAGGGCATTTTCTTACTCATGTACTTTCGCCTCCTATTGTTAACTTTGCCAGTGCCGTATAGGCTTGCATCGGTTGTTAGAACGGACGACTTCTCAAGATCTGGAAGCTTTAAGACCTCGTGATGCATAGGAGCATACTTTAGTCTTTCAGAGGGTCTTTTGTAATCGTCTGTCCACTCCCACAGGGTGTCAAGGTGCGTGAGGTTCGTCAAGGGGGTAGCGATAGTGTTGTAGTTCTTGACAAACAGGCAGTAATAACCCATCATCCCCAAGAAAGACAAAATTTACAGCAAAATTGGAGTTGTAGCAAAGGTAGCTATTACTCGGGAGGTAGGGGTTATGGTTTCCGGCAAGGCGGACACGGCTCTCCCTCCAAAGGCGGGCGGGGCAGAGGGCGCATGCCATGGCCAATGCATCCAGGGCTTGTTGAAGGTGACCCTTGGAAAGAGATGGGTATCGAAAAACCGGTGTGGCAGCAAAGGCTTAACGCCGACCAATGCGTACAATGTGGTGATCCTAACCACATTGTTTGTTTGTGTCCTGATTACAACCACCCAAAAGGGAACAGCCAGTAGGAGTCACAGTTGCTCCTGCTGGGCCTTCAGACATAGACAGTCAGATAGGAGCGCTCACCCTCCTGTCTGAAGGCCTCCATGGCAGAGACTGACGTTTCCCCACCTAGTTAGTTGTCCGGAGACCAGCTTGTGCTAGGGTCTCTTTGGGAGGTTCCCTCGCAAGCATCGATGATGAGCTGATCACTCGTCGCCAAGCTTGGGCCGAAATGAAGAAGAGTAAAGGGCAGCTAATCTTAGCAGATGTAGAAATTAGTAGAGAGCAAGTAGGCGCGTTAGTTGATAGTGGATCTACGCGTAGCTACATTAGCCGAAGGGGACTGCACCTCCACATGAAGGTTGTGAAATTGGACGAGCCGGTTGTGAGCAGGCTGGCAGACAATCACGAAATGAGAGTAGAAGAGTACGTCAAAGGGGTAAGGGCATACTTTCGGTTGGAGGGGGGGAACAAGGTAGAGAAAGTTGTGCACTCCTAGACCCTCTTAGTAGAGGGAAGCCTACCTTTCAACTTGATTCTAGGGACGGATTGGGGAGAGCTTGCAAGGGCTGATGTAAAGATGGGCGAGCACGAGTGTTGGCTGCCCAGCCCTGAAGTAGGCAAAAAGAAAATGTGGTTGTTTCACGAGTTCAAAGTAGAGTCCAGGCCGTCCCTTTGCTGTATGAGTGCCCCTGCGTTCGCTAGGCACGTGCGCAAGGCCGATTTGGTTGACCAAGTCTTCGTAGCGTATGTTAGACTGGTCAGTAAGGGCAAGGAGGAAGAGCCGACAATAGCCGCAGTAGAAAAACTGATGAAAGAGTTCACTGATGTGGGAGAAACCCCGATAGGAGTAGCGGAAAGGGAAATCAAGCACCGGATAGAGACAGAGTCCGGTAGCAAGACCCCCAACGGCTCCACGTATGCCGCAACCAGCGCTCCGACGATATTTCTCACCCTGTGAACCAGTAACGCGTGAACTGTTACACATGTTTCGTCCCGTCGGACTCATCATGAATTGATAGAAAAGTGGTGGATTAAGCCCCAATCCTCACCGTATGGCACACCGGTCCTATTTGTACCTAAAGAGGAGGGCAAATTGCGAATTTGCATTGACTACAGGGGTCTGAACGCGATTACGGTGAAAAACGCCGAACCTTTGCCTAGAATAGATGATCTGCTGGATAGGGTGCAGGGCTGCAAGTATTTTTCCAAGATTGATTTGAAGTCGGGCTACAACCCGAAGACCAGCACAAGACGCCCTTTAGAACTCGCTATGGCCACTACGAGTTTGTGGTCATGTCATTTGGTTTGACGAATGCCCCTGCTACCTTCCAAAGATGCATGAACGATCTCTTTCGTGAATGGCTAGATGAGTTCGTAGTCGTTTATCTAGATGATATTTTGATTTTTTGTAAGACTCTAGAGGAGCACCAACAGCATCTGCATTTAATCTTAGAGAAGCTGCGCATTGCGAACTTCAAGTTGAATTTGAAGAAGTGTGAATGGGCGAAGCGTCAAGCGTTATATTTAGGTCACGTGCTAGACGGAGATGGAGTCTGACCGGAAGACTCAAAGATGGCAGCAATCAAGCATTGGCCCACACTGCATACACTGACCGAATTGCGGTCATTCTTAGGACTAGTGTTATGGACTCCGCTAGGGCTCGATCCCTGGTCTATCTTTTTGCTGTTTCGGCTGCATCCCGTTTTCGGTCTGGCACTCTTTTTCCAAACCCCTCCTTCGGTACCGTAGGATTTTGGACAACTGGCGCCATGCTGCAATTCGGGCGCCACTTTCAAATACCGCATTTTTCAGTTCTGCCCTCGGGGCCTTCGCAGAAATGCCCCTGGTACCGTACGTGTCACCGGTACTTATACCGGCTCCTCGTACGTTATGGGGACCAGTCTCGGACTCTGCTGTACTCGTACTCAGTGGGACTTGCCCCTGTTTCGGCATTCGGAATCCAAGACTTGGACTTTGTGTCTTTGCCACTATGTCTGCGTCCGTCGAGTCCCTCAGTCGTGTCGAGTGAGTGAGTGTGTGTGTGTGTGCTCTCACTCTCTCTCTCTCTCCCCTCTCCCTCGGCTCCCCGTGTCTCCCTCAGCCTCGCACTTGTCACACTGGTATCGGAGCGGTTCGAACCCGCCCGACCCACCCTGCTTCGTCATCACCACTTGGCCATCATCAGCATCATCGACATCATCGTCGTGATCGTCGTCGTAGTGCCACGTCATCATTGTGATCATCGCCGTTGTGCCATGTCCTCATCGTCATCGTTGCGATCGTCGTCGTCGTACCACGTCATCATCGTCACCGTCGCGATCGTCGTCCTCATGCCACGTCGCCATCGCCGTGCCCGTCATCCTCGACGCCGCGCCGTGCCATCCTCTTCGTCGTCGTTGCTACCTCCACGCAGATAAGTAATCGACGACAATTTTTTTTTTTTTTCTTTTTTTTCTTCTTCTTCTTCTTCTTTTTCTTTCTCTTCGTTCTTTTCTTCTTCTTCTTCTTCTTCTTCTTCTTCTTCTTTCCTTCTCCCCCCCGACCCCCGACGATCTTTCCCTGGCCCGACCCCGATCTCCCTGTCCCTTTCCCTCCCCGCTATCCGCTAGTCCCCCCCCGCGCGTTTCCCCTTCCCCGCGCGATTCTTCCTCCCCCC